TCTAGTTGGAAAAAAAAAAAAAAAGATCTTTTCAAGCATTGTCGGTAAAATTTTCTTCTCCTCCATCAATGAAATTTGAGAGAAGACAGAAGAGGAGCCAAAAGAGTAACGAGGAAGACTAACCTTTAAGCTTGTTCACCAGCCATTTGCTTCCTCCTTCGATACTGCTTTGCAAGGACTAATTTTTAAAAGGGGAAAGTGTCAGACAAGTAAGAAGAAGACGAGAAAGAGAGGAAATTTAACACAGATAAGCGATAACCAACTGGTCTCTCCGAGTGAATTCCAAATTAGTGAACATATTTTATTTTGCTTTAGGGTAGGCATTTTGCAAATGCTTCAGCTCACACATCATAGCAGATTGAAATTCGTCTAGATTTTAATAAAATGGAACTTGTTTTAAACTTTTAATTTATCACATCAATTTCAATTAACAATCTCACCAGGGCAGGAGCTAGAAAGTGGAGTATATAATTATGTGTTTCTGTTCTTAGTACCATTGCAACATTATACACTAAAAAGGAGAAGAAAAGCATAAACTCCTAGCACCATACTTAGATTTTCAGGAAATGCAAAGATCCTATTCAGTAGTAAAGCTTCGGCCTTTGGAATTTATGGCGTGTCAGGATTTGTTTAAGGCTTGGATCTGGCATGTCAGGATGTTGGTTGTGCACGTTTTTTTAATTAATAAAGGAGAATAAGGCACGGAACGTTTTCTACCCTTCAGATAACAAATTATTGTGCTTTAAAATCCATAAGTGCAATAATGAAAAGAAAAGATGCAATTCAACAAAATTTATGTCCAACCACTACAATAATTCTGTGTCTGCTCTAAAACAAGTGATGAATGCAGCAAAGATACAAATCAGTCTACCCCCACCTGGAAATTGTTAAGGAAAATAAATGTTCAAAAACAATGGCATGCGAAAGAAGAGACTATTGGCTCAAATTTGATGGGCACAATACTAACATTAGGGAGGTCGAAACTTAATAAAAGTTTGTCAGACTGGTCTTTTACTCGACTTTGAGAATAATGAGATCTTAGTGGCATCTCCCTGATCAATTTTCATCCCCACTTACAGGACAAAAGTCATTTCCTCAGACATCTTGTTCTTGAAAAGGAAAAGCAGGGTAAGCTGCTTAGCTAGATGGTATTAGTACTTTAAATATATATATTTTAAGCATTTGCATTCTCAAATGTTATACCCGAAGAATCTTTCATATCGAATTCTTTATTTACTCAAACAGAATACCATTGATTCATTTTCTTGGTAATCATCTAAGGATGCTGATCAGTATGAGTCATGAGCTTTCTTCTTTCTTTCTTTCTTTCTTGGTTATTCTTTTGCCAAATTCCGACACAGACATGTGCTATCTCATCCCTACTCAACAGTCAACATTGGATTTGTAGGAAAACTCAAAGGCCATTACAAGGTCTGCTGAATATGACATTTCAGTAGGTATATTTCCTTGCAATGCAACTATGAGTTTAATGAAGAAACCAAGAAGCTTCCTACCCAGGTTCGGCCAGTATATTAAGTCGACAATTAAATGTGTGTATGTGAGGTCGATCACAAAAAGAAATTCATTCTCTTTGGAGATATCAGCAGCTAAATGATGGCAAAGAGAGTAAACTCGATAATGTTCAATACAACTAGAGTCCAAATTCAAAAGTAATCCTCCACACTTAATCTCAACCAACTTGAATGATCGAATCGATTCTTTCACTTTGTCTTGCAGACAAGTGATCATATATCAGTAGTTTGGAAAGTTAAAAGTAGATATGCACGGATACAGTTAAACAGAGATATTGTATACGCAGATACACTTATTATGCACGTGAATACAATATATTCCACAAAATTTCAAAATTAAGAATTCTAAACTTCTAATTAAGCAATAGTAAGATCATCAGCATTGACAAAACATAAATAGTAACTCAATCAATTGAATTCCTCAAAACATAATTTAATTACATAATTAGAACGGAAATTTCAAAATTAAGAAGACTAAACTTCTAATTAGGCAATAATAAGATCATCAGATTAACTCAATCAATTGAATTCCTCAAAACGTAATTTAAGTACATAATTAGAATCAGTGTAAACCCTAGTGATGCACAAAAATCCATCAACTACAGAAATGAAATTAAGGACTGTAAATGACGGAGAATTGAAAGGAAAGAGAGTTTAGGGTTTACATTAATGTCATCGCCGACGGAATTGAACTCCTTGTTGGCTTTCTGACCAATCCAATAGGAACCTACCTTGTTCAATATCTGATCCATTTATAAGTTTCAATTGAATTCCGATGTATACACACAAAACCAGCTGAGAGTAAACACTTCTCCGTCGTCGTCGAATTGTTCTTCTCTCCGCAGCTCAGCTTAACTGTAAGAGAGAAGGAGGAAGAAATTTCCTTGCCAACTTTTCAACACTGACATAAAGGACGCGCAGACGACTTGTCTTTTTTTTTTTTTCCCTCGGTTTTAGATATTTACATTAGAGCATCTCCAACTCAAACACTAAATTTGATGTCAGCACTATTTTAGTGTAAATCAATTCTAATCCACTGTATCAATTTAACATTAGTGATAAAAACGTATCACTTAATCATAATATTATATGGTATATGATAGACAAATGCATCCCGTACAAGTTAATATACGGAAGTTATTCATCTTTCATAATCAAAGTATATATATGGACCAAAGACAATTATAGAAAGGGGCAATGAATTCCTTATGTTTATATTTATATCCGTTTACTTTTAATTGTTATAGTTTATAATATTTTTCGTATAATTTTTGAATATCTAAATTTTGACTAATATTTTAGTACTTTTCGTATAGTATTTGAATATATAATTTTTTTGTTTTATAATTGAATTAATGTAATTTAATTAACTTTGAAAATTAATCAAATTGACTTTCGAAAAGTACAACATGACAATTAAAAATAGACAAAAGAAATATATATATATATATATATATATATATATATATATATATATATAATATTGAAATCCCGCAAGTTGATAATTATGACGAAGTTTAAGGCACATAACAAGCCGTCCACTATTAAATAGTGCCTCCTCTTCCTGTACATGCATGCATGTTATTAGAGGGTAGTGTCATTTGTGTCTACTACTCCCTCCGTCCCTAATTATTTGTCCACTTTTCTTTTTCAGTTGTTCCTAATTACTTGTTCATTTTGACAAATCAAGAAATGACATTTTTTTTTACCTATTATACCCTCAATTAATTACTTTAAAAAATGTAGAGCTTTTTGAAAATCTTAAGTTTTTAATTCATCCATTTCATAATTAATAGGTGTAAAATGGTAAATTCACTATGTCAATCATTATTTTCTTAATAGATGTGTCAATTCAAAAGTGGACAAGTAATTAGGAACAGAGGAAGTACTAATTTCTTGTCAACTAAAACAACGTAAAATCAACATATATATATCAAGTTTGAGTAATTTAATTTTAAAAAATACAAATATATTGTAAGATCCCGTACTTTTTCTCTATTCTTGCATAATATGTGTGGCGTTGTTTGGTTATATGAGGTGTTTATGACTTGATATCATACATTGGAGATTAAGATTGCAAATGGGTGGTAACATCAAGGAACTAAACTAAAGTTTTAGGTCAAAGGGACCCCTCAAACAAAGTTCAGGATTAAAGAAATGGCTCGGGTAGAACTTCCCCCGTTTGAAAGGCTTAAATTATCTCATACCTTGGGGATAAGCCTATGAGTGTCTAATATGCTAAGAATAGTGTGTTATGAGGTATTATAATAGCACAAGGTTCGTATGTTAAGTTTTGAAGTCAAGAAAATTAGCGAAACCAAGGTCGGCAAAAGTTATCGAAGTTTCTCTAATAATATTTTCTTAACTTTTGGTCAAATGTCTTGGATGTTTTATCTCAATATATAAAGAGTTAGAAGGCCCATAACCTATCAAATCGAAGGCTACAAGTCTAGTTTGCAACGCACAAAACCCCGTTTCCAACCGACATCGGAGTAAAAAGTTATGAGGGTTTTACCCGGACTGCCGAGCAGAATCCGAGTCGCGATTCGGCTCGAGTCAAATATGTGGTATGTTGGGTTACTCAACGTTTTAAGCCATGAAAACATTTCTTTTCACTTCATAACCAGAAATAAAGCTTAAGAGAGGGTTCTAATGGAGTTATTGCATGATGAAGGTTAGTTTTCGACGATTTCTACCATTAAAGGTTGCCCCTATGCCTAGAAACGTGATCTCTACACGTGGCAATCGTTTTTCCCTTCTATTAGCTGCGTTTAGAGCTAGTTTTTTAAGATATAAATTTATTGTTATTGGTATTTCTGTAGGGTTTACACTTGATTTGCTAAGGTAATCATCTCGTGACTCTTTTATGATTTTTTTTAATGAAGTTCTACGAACATTTCGTCAAGTTGGGGCCATATGAGAAAACTACCCATTTAAGCTTAATTATGAATTGTTTATAGGTGCGTACCAATTGTGTATATAAGTGTTTGCGAAGTTTTAGGACATAAGGAACAACTTTTGTGAAGAAACTACGGGTATTCGAGCGTTCATTGGAAAGGTATGTTAATGCTAAGCTCTATCCCTCATTTTAGCACCACTCATAGGAAATTCCTAAAACGCCGAATGTGATATTTTGCTATTCTCTTGCTAGAAAGACCTTCAGTGAAAGGCATTGGAATCTCAGCTAAATTATTTTCATGATTCTATTATTTTGATATTCTACTCGTTTGGATAAATAGAGTATTCGACATCTACATGTCATTTTATCTGTTTCCTTGATTATCTGTCCGCATGTATGAATTATTCTTCTTCTTTGGGTGATATGACATAAATATCACGGGAGACCCTTATTACTTGTAACCAACCCTCTTTCCCCACTAAAGTTATTATGAAAAATCTTTATAGTAACTCACGATCTTCAAAACTCTCAAATATAACTTAAATGTTTAAACTATTAGAACACTTGGTTTTTGAAATACTTCTTTATAAATTATCTAGGAACCAAGTTAGGAACTAAGTAAATCACCTTAAACTTGTTATGAATATCTGCAAGGTTAGGTTATCTTTATAAAATTCGAGTTAACTTTTCAAGCTTATTTGGAAGAACATATGAGGTTCCATGAGATTGTTACATGTTATACGAAAGTGATTATGGGGTTATGAGAACAAGACTACAAACGGGCCAAGATTGGCAACATGACAACAGTAACATATAAGTCTTATAAATCCATGACATGACATGCTATGTATTCTACTCCCGAGCTATAATCGGGAGGTATGAGGCCTATTGCCTATATTTATACGTATGAGACACTGATGGCCACATGTTGGCCTATATGATGCCAGTTAGCTACCGGGAAGCACCACTATTGCTAGCATTTGGTTGGGTATGTCATGCATTTACATCTATATATATATTTGCAACATACGATTATACGAGCATACCATGCATATTTAAATAGTAGGAGGCCAAATGTCAGTTATGGAGATTATTTGAGTTTCGGTTTCAAGTGGTATCTCTATTTCCCTTTTTCAGTAACTATTTATGATGCTACTTTCCGCTTTACATACCAGTACATTTTTATTCGTACTGACGTCCCATTGCCTGGGGACGCTGCTTTTTGTTTCATGCGAGCAGGTTCAGGCATGGATTCTGATCGATCCACCCGCTAGGATTCATGTTCAGCTGTGAGTTGGTAAGCTTCATCTTATCCTGGGATTTTTAGAAGATGTTTACTTTTGTTGTACAGTTTGGATATAGTCGAGGCCTTGTCCCGACAGTCCTTATGTCACTTACAGAGGCTATTGTGGACACAATATTCTGGGTTTTCTTTTGTATGTTTCAATCTCCAACCAATAGACTTGGCATGTATATATGTGTGTGTGTAAGTAAGTATGTCTTTAGTTGTGGCCTCGTTGGCTAGCTAGAACATCTTTATTTTATTTTGGCTTGTCTACCATTGTTTGTATGGTTTAGTCTCATTCAGGTCATGACCTTCAGGGTCCAGGCTTCACTTTTTAGAGGTTGTGCTGCCCAATCTTTTTGTCTCACAGTTTAGTTAGCTAGTATGTTTTAGTGGGTAACTCGATCTAATAGGATATCGAGTGCCAGTTACGTCCCCTATTTCAGGGTGTATATATATATTTATATTAATTTGATGCAAATATTAGATATTATACATAAAATCACCATACGCTACTCTACAATATATTTGTGTGATTACTTTTTTTTAAAATTAGGAAGAGGACAACAAGATAATCTATCTAAAAACGAATTATACAATGGATGTGGACAAGTAACAAGGTAGATGTTATTATATATATATATATATATGGAAAATCAAATAAAGATATGATCACTTTGACTATACTATATATATATATATATATAAGTACAATAAATATTAACTACAACGTACAACTTGCTACTTATAAAGGTACCACATTGATATGAAGTATGACCACTTAACCACCTCACATATATGTGAATTTAATATAGGCAGCAAATTGGCAAATGGTTTAAAATTAAATAGGTTCACAAAAATCATTTGTGGATTACAATCATCCGCATTTGTAACATTGTATCAGTTCCAATTTTCTATGGAGAATGGTCAAAGTAAACTTCCACTATGTTACACTGGTCTACAAATATGGTCACAATAGTTAATTAATATAGCAAACTCAGAATTTACACGGTATAAATAATATAACTTTTCGGGAAAAGTGGTTTGAATGAACACGATTCTAGTTGAAGTGGGCTTAAAGAGAATCACACGTGACTCTTGTTATCCATCACTATCATGGAGTGAAAAATCATTAGGAGGGCCTATCTAATTAAAACAATTTTTTTGTTGAGAGCACTAATGTAACAGCCCGACTTTTTTAAATGTCTAAATTAATTCGTACATTCGTGGAAAGACAGAGAGGGTGAGTAATAAGATCAGGGTACCACCAGATACGAGTTTGAAAGAAAGACGTTCCAAAGAAAGCTTTTAGAACCAGATATGGACACTTTGAGTTCTTGGTAATGTCTTTTGGATTAACTAATTCCCCAGCAGTGTTCATGGACCTGATGAATAGTATATTCAGGCCGTATCTAGACTTGTTTGTGATTGTATTTATTGATGATATTTTGGTGTATTCACGTTCAAAAGTTGAGCATGCAAATCATTTGCGAGCAGTCCTTCAAGTTTTTCGAGAGCAGAAACTTTATGCAAAGTTCTCCAAGTGTGAGTTCTGGTTGAGCTCTGTGGCTTTCCTAGGCCATATTGTATCAGATGCAGGCATTGCGGTTGATACATAAAAGATTGAGTCTATAAGGATTTTGCCCAGACCTATGACTCCGACTGAGGTTCGTAGTTTCTATGTCATCCAGAAAAGGCGAATGTGATAGCCGATGCCCTCAGTCGAAGATCTATGGGTAGTTTATCCTATTTAGGTGTTGAGAAGCGTGAGCTAGCATAAGAGC